CCTGTTTGGGGCTTTTTACTATTGATTACAGCTACAAGATCTGTGTTGCTGTCAAACTGTACGTTTCTCCATAATGGCAAGCGTGGAGTAAACATAGAGAATTTTGCAGGCCATCTTCAAATGACTAACAGCAAAATGAACCAAAATGCACTTGACGGTGTTAACATCAAAGGATTGGTTGGAAAACTAGAGCTAATTGATCTTGATGTTGTGAATAATGGTCAACTTGGTCTGGTACTGGAAAAMGTCTCCGGTAAAATTGTTTTAGAGAGCTTTAACATAAGTCACAATAAGCAGGATGGAGTTAAGGTCTACCAAGGAACAGGATTCCTGATGATGAAAAAAGGAGCGATTAAAGAAAATAATGCTCGAGGAATTCATATCGGATCTCTAAGAGAAGTTCAGCTAAATTTAACAAGCTTGGTAATTTCTATGAACAAGGAAACAGGCCTAACTTTGGAGAAGATATCAAAAGGTATACTAATGCTAACAGACGTTACAACAACTTTAAATTCCAAGTATGGTGCGTATTTTACACAATGTTCATCTCCGGTGGCCATTGCAAGAAGCTCCGCAAACGAGAATGGTGGCCATGGATTCTATTTTCAAAGGCAAGGTGGCTCTGTTAAGATGTCGGAGTTCACTGCATCTCGAAACCAGGAAAGCGGACTTCGTGTTGAAGATGGCATATCTCGCTTGTTTATCCAACATGGTATGATAAATAAAAATAACAAGCATGGGTTTTACTTGAACAATCACGGCGGAGAGATTTTGATGGTCAACGTAAGCCTCAACGACAACAAAGAAAGAGCAATAAATGTGTATGAGAATTCACAAGGAAACCGCATAACATTGTTTTCAGTTTATGGGTGTTATATTTCYGGAAGCAAAGTTGGTTTGAAGTTAATTATTTYTTGCACCTACAAGTCTAATAGCGTAAGAAACGTCAGCATCCGGCTAGAAAGTAATACTTTTGCCAACAACACGCTAGAAACATTTGGTTTCTATAAAGAACATACTTGCTATTACTCAACAACGCCTAGACAAGTTTTTATCGATGCAGTAAACAACACTTTCATCCTCAATAAGAAGAGTGTTWTCCACATTGATTGTCCTGGTATGTTTGCTCTACAAGGAACATTAGCCTCAAAYGCRTTTCTTGRCAATTTGGGTAAGGTTGTAACTGTAAGGGAAGGAACMAACTGTGRCGATCGTCATAAATATCCAATAARARTACARATTWCCTCAAACAGGTTTGAAAATAACACGGGCCAGTACATGGTCAACATTGATTTGCAGCCTTGGTATACCATTCGCTCCGYTGTCTTGCGACACAACTCCTTTGTGATGAACAAACAGACCAAACTGCCCTCGAGATTCTATAGCAGAATGACTRAAGACGCTGTAATTGTCTTGAAAGAAGGAACATTTCATATACTGCAAAATTCCTTTGAAAATCCCAACTTTAACTATCAAGTCGCAGCCGCTCTTGTTGCTCATGGAAGAGTCATAAATGCAAGCCACAATTGGTGGGGGACAAAAGACGAATGTAGGATAAAGGACTTGATATTTGATAAGGAAGATAGACTTGATCTTGTCAAAGCTGATTATTTTCCCTATTTGCTGAGCAACCATAGCTCAGATATTATTTCATCAAATACMACCAGGCCTTTGTGCTTTCTCAAAGACTCGCATTTGGGCGGTACACTAAACAGGCACTTAATATTATCCAACAAATCAGTCCCATATAAGGTGGTGAATGATTTAGTCATTCTTCCGAAGGGATCTCTCGTCATAGAATCTAACGTAACTCTGATATTTCCTCCAAGATCTGCGTTCGTTGTTCAAGGAAGCTTGAACATTTATGGCGAAGAAAGMGCAACTGTGAAGTTCACTCTAGACAAGGTTGTTGACTCAAGAATACGACTGAAGAATGGTTGGTACGGCAATCTYGAGATTAAAATCAACARTACATGGATGACTCKATGTGTCARGAGAARCTTTKAYTTTCAACCAGAAATGGTCTGCAACCAYTTCAATCTGGAGTATGAAAGTTATAACYGGTATTATCCAAGTGGAAAAGAACATGGYTTTATCAATAACTTAAATTGTGATCACAACATAGCCCTGGACATGAGTCCATGCAACTATGAAAACCTTAGMTATACTCCACGTTGTGATGRTTATGTYTTGTACCTTCGATGTAAGAGACCCTACTGGTCTGGTGTTCACCTTGCCATGACTAAAGCCAAAAATAGTATTAAGCACCTTGAGATCCACGAAGGGGGTCAGAATTACAGAACAGACCTCAAAATAACCTCAGCAGCTTTAAGAGTGGATTTTGATGACCACGTCCTGAGAAATATAATGGTGAAGAACTCAGCATCTGTTGGTGTACAGGTTTTGTATTCAAATCCCTTCAAAAGAGTGCCTACTTTATCTAGTTCCTTGGTAGAGGGTACTGAATCCAACGGTATGCAGATCAGTTTTTCCCATGCACCTCTAGATCGTGTTAACATCATAGATGCTAAAGGCAACGGTCTTTATTCAAAAAGCTTGTGGAACGATCTTGATTTAGACGCACGAAGAATGTCAGACCCTGCATTTATTCACCACGTCTCTGATTGTAAAGAAAAGTCAATATTCATCCAAGAGGGTGATTCAAGGTATTTGATCTTTTCTCCATTTGGAGAAACGGCACCATCAAGTTGCGATCAAGAAGTATATACGACGAACAGATCAAACATTGCTCTGCAAATAATCTACAAAAACATAAGATATAGTTCCTATCACTATGACAGTGTAAATGTAAATAGTGGTGGAAAACAATGGAAGTTGGAAGATCTTTCATGGGAGGACAGACCTGTTTTATATGCCAATACCTCAATCATGCATCTCCGTTTTATGAAGTACTATGCTTACAGACCAATGCTCGTACACCTATTGGCTTCCTCTCTTAATGGTGAGTATAATATACGATACGTCACATTACCTTTTAGCTTGCCAGCATATTATATCCTATTAAGTAAATTTAAAGAAGTATTCATTTGTTTCCATGGTTCATTTTGAATAATGCATTTTTGAAAATTTACAAGCGGTTTTCTTGCACCGGCCTTATATGCTGACAAATATTTCTTACTGTTTTTCGTAATTGTAACAAATTACTGCACGAGTCTTGTCACTGTTCTGTTGTCTCTTTTACCTGCAGATACAAATGGACATATGAAGCAATATAAGAAGATTTCGATCAAAAACTGTGTTATCAAAAATACTTCAGGAAGTGGAATTTATATTCATGGACCTCGTACGGAATCGATTGTTATACAAAACTCCACCATTCAAAGCAGTCTTAAGAATGGCATCGAAATTAGTTCATCAATCACAAGTCTCTTTGTCCAGTCATCAACCATTGCACTTCATCTTACGGGCGTCTTATTATATTCCCTAAACGGCATTTACAATAAAGGGATTGCAGGTAAAATCTTTATCTCAAAAAGCGTCATTTCGAAATGTAGCAACAAAGGACTTCATGCATGGGCTTCTGGAAGTAAAACTATAACTATAGAAGACTCTTTAATGTCACAGATCACTGGAAATGCGGTTAATTTATATGGAAGATATTCTCAAACTTCTCTTTACGTCAACAAATGCAGATTTCATGAGAACAAACTACATTGTGTTAATGCACACAGTCAAAACAACTGGGGTTCTGCAATTGAATTCCATGTGACAAACAGCAACTTTTCCAATAATGCTGGGCGTGTCGTCAATATTGAACGAGCCACGTCCCTGGCAAAATGGCTCATCGAAGGGAACACCTTTTTCAACAACTCCGAACCTTCGGTTATTTCAATTGGAGAGCATTTCCCTCATACAACATATACAATCAAAAATAACAGTTTTATTTCAAATCGTTGTAATAAAGACGCTGTCATAGATCTGTGTTATAGCGCTCAATTTGTGGCCATTGATAAGAACACGTTTTTAGGAAACTTCGGACCTGCAGTTATTTTGAAAACAGCCGTTGCATCGCTACCTTTACAAATCAAAGAAAATACGTTCATAAACAATCTTTGTTTTGGCTGTCCAATTCTGAAGTTTCTTCGAATTGAAAAAGACCTTATCTTGGAGAACAATACCTTTACTAACAATACTGGCCAGGTCATGATCTTTCTTCAAGCTGCTTATGAGATAACTGCCAGTACACTCGTACAAAAACTGTCTTTGACTGACAATGCCATAAAAGAAAGCCACCCTAGTGCCTCAGTGTCTTCAAACGTTGAAAGATGTGTTATAAATTTTAACGGCATCTTATTCTTTAAAGACGTCAAATGGAGAAATAACAAAATGAGTAACGCACAATTTGACTTTGAGTTGTGTCTTCATACCCTTGGCTTGTCTCAGCTGCCTCAATTAAACGCCAATGAAACATGGTGGGGAACGAACGAAGACATCTCAAGAAGAGTTCTCAGTTTTGATATTAACTATGAATACGGCATCGTCAACTATGGACACTTTCTTGCCTTAGAAAATAAGGTATTGAAAACAATAGTGTATGACGCTGACTCTGCATTCGATGAGTTGTTTGGAAAGTCAATACTCAGGGGAAGGATACATAAATCTATAACCCTCCGACGCAACAACAGCCCTTTCAAGGTTCTTGGAGATGTTACTGTGCTACCCGACACCGTGCTTACAATAGAACCTGGAGTAACAGTTCAGTTAGCACCATACGCGAGTATATTAGTGCTTGGAAAACTCATTGCAAGAGGTGATAAAGAACACCACATCACCTTCAAGCACATTGATAAATCCAAGAATACTGAAGCACTTCCATTTGACATTCGGTTAATGGATGGGGATTTTCCTTGGTATGGTCGATTGGAAGTTTATCACAATTCGAGTTGGAAACCATTATGTACAGAGAAGTGGATAAGACAAAACGTCATTGTTGCCTGCCGTCAGCTTGGTTATGATGGTCCAAATTTGGACATGAGCCCAATAAGATTCGGTAATACAGAAAACAATCTAACGTATCCTCTTGAGTTACGTTGTTTGGGAAATGAATCATCCATTACAAAATGCGCAAATAATTCAACAGGTCAAGACATCCATCGCTGTCAAAGTGTCGTTGGATTAAGGTGCCATGGAAAAGAATGGGGATCTATTCGTTTTTCACGCCCTCCGATTGAAAAAATCAATGCAAGTAACAGTACATCAGTTCTTGAATACGTTGACATTATGTACGCTGGGAAAAGGAAAAGCTCAAATACTTCGGCTATTGAAATGATTCGGAGAGTTCCAATAATAAGTCATATTAAAGTGTTTAACTGTTCCTCTGGGGGTCTCACCATCGTGTTACCAGATAAAAACCACAAAGTTGAGAAGAGTCAGTTCATAAATACTGGAGGAACAGGARTAACAGTTATGGAAAACACGAAATCCTTTGTCATTCAAGATTCTCACATATCAGAAAACAATAATGGTCTCCTTTTTATTCGTTGGGATGATCAATTAATCAGCAATTTCATCGGACAAGATGGAGTGTTTTTGTGTGATAATAAAATGCAAACGATAGATGTCAAAGAAAGCGAATTCCTTTATTTTGTAACGACACCAGCCAAAGGTCATACGAAAGATTATCCCACAATCGAATGTCAAAAAAGACTTCGAACTGAAAAAGGCATGGGAATAATTATTAGAGTTTTGAGCGTCAAGGGGACACAAACCCTACGTGTTCATGTTGGTCAAACTGACATAATAAACACTAAAACTTATSGTTGGAAGGGTTTCAACTTATACATCGATTTTGAGGACGTACAGTTGACCTGGAAAGGAACATTTTCCTCGCAAGTCGTACTTCTCGTTACTGCAATAGAACTGAAAGGTACGTATACTGACAGCTATTTCAAACAAGGTTGGCAAAGGTCAAAAAGTTTACTACTTAAGAAATTGTCACCAAATACCATGCATAGTGCTGAAGTTTGTAGATGAGCGAAAGTGCAAAGCGCCTTCTATTCCTATAATCACTTTGACAAATTGCTTTATTTGAAAATGGACCACCACTGGATTGTGCCAGGAAATTGAATTTCAYTCACTGAATTTTATTGAATTGTCCTCCTACCCCACCCCTTTTTCTCCTTAATGAGGTTCAGAAAATCCCATGGTCGTTTGTAAAGGGTTAAGTTAAAAAGAATATGCCATCCTTGCTATCATTATTTTAATCTTTTTCAGATATGCCATGTACTTTTATTCGTAATCGTATGTGTGGCTGGCAAAGTGTCTTAAACAAGAGGGTTCTGGGAATGACAGCGAATAACGCGTTTAAAAATGTTTATGATGCTGGAAGTGGTACGTATAATATATACATAATTGACAACAATTTACATTATTTTCTCTTGTTTAGCGAAACAAACCTTTTAAAACTTTTTTATGCATCGACAGGACATGCGATTGATCTACAATATCCATATTGGTGGCGTGAACATTATGCTAATCTTGTAAGCCCATTAATCACCCCAAATGCCAAAGCATGTCAACTGAATTTCGAGTACAGCTTCACTTCTGTGCAGAGTTATTTATGGCTGGCAGTGATACGAGAGGAATACGAGAACGGAACACAAATTCATACTAAATTATGGTCATCTGATGAAGAAGAAACTCAGAAGAGATYATGGATGAAGACTTCAATTACAATTCCTTTAAGAAACAAGCCCTTCAGACTCGTCCTGTTCGCGCACACCAAAAAAACTTCATGGTATAATACTAATATTTACTTAAAGAATTTGAATGTTAAAAACTGCTCAGCTGGTAAGTTAACAAGTTCGTGTATGGCATTTTATATAATATATAAGTTTTCTGAAGTGCTAAATTTTAATGCAAGGCATTATGATACAACAGTTTTTGTATGTTACACTGAGGAAGAATGTAATCCCGAAACCAACCTGTAATAGTGAAAAGGACACGTTACATATACAAAAGATTCTGTTTAAATTAACATTAGTTATAGCCTGTTAGCTTCATGTCACCTTGTCTCTTTACAGCATCTTCTAAGCACACAATTTCATTTTTTCAGTTTTAATTGATCACCAATATCATCTTCTACATCATTTTGTAACTATAAACTTTCAGAAAATATCGATGTCAATGGAAATTTCTTTACGAAGAACCGAAATCATAATATTTTGCTGCAAAGTAACGTCCCGATTCAGCAATTCAACATAAAGATACACAGAAACAAGTTTACTGATGCCGTAGATGACGCCAGTACCACCGGTACCATCAGAATTAACACATATAACAATCCATTTTATATATTAAATAAYTTTATATCAAATAACAACAATGGAGGCGTTTATGCAACTGTTGGAAACAGCCATGGCAATTTGGTCATAAAAAGCATGATTGAAAGAAATTATTTCGAAGGCAACAAAAAGGAAACAATATACATAGATGCTGGATACGGCGGAAAGGCCTTTAACATCGATATATTTGGTAACAATATWAATGGTAACAACGGTAAAGGCACTGGCCAAGCCATACACAGTAACATTAAGTTATCTCAGGTGGTTTGTACTCTGGAAGAAAACTTCGTTTACGATAATTATGGCAGGTACAACTTAGARATCATGCTGAACAAGAGAACCATAGTGAATAGATTGATAAAAGTTCGAAACAACACCTTTTATCACAATCATGGGCTGATAAAAGACTATGGGTCTACAATGTATTGTAATGGGTCTGTGGTGATCTACAAGAATATCATCAAGAATCCTTCCAATCTTTATGAGCTTGTCACAGACCGAGCAAGCTCTTTTCGATTGATAAATGCAACTAGCAATTGGTGGGGATTTGGATCACCAAACATTGTAGGGATGCGCATTCGTGATGTGTCAGACGATTACAAACTTCCAACAGTAAGCTACCATCCCTATATACCACTCAGGCCTCCAACTGCCGTACCTCGTAAGTACGATTAGTTATACAGCTATTTCAAGGTTCGTCGAGCCAAAGGCGATAAGGTGATAGGCAGCGAAACTTGATAAGCAATAGGTCACTCAAAGATCCAAGAATAGAGAATGGAATGCCTTYCTGATGTTTCTTATATTTATCAGTATTCTTATTGCAAACAAGTTTATATATCTCATTTGGGTCCGACAAAAGTTTCTGGATTAAGTAAACCTTTAAGTCCAATACTATCGATAAGCTGTAAAAGTTTTTGATATTTATTTTCTTGCAGTATCATGCCCTGCAGCAGGATGGATTTTATTTGAAGAATCTTGTTTCTTATACCATGGAGGTCCCATGCCTTACTATGAGGCTGAAAAATATTGTTTGGTACGTTCCATCCATCCATCCATCCATCCATCCATCCATCCATC